AAAAAATGCGATTGGTATTTTGATAGAAATTGCATTGAGGAGCACTTCATTCATTTGTACAACTAGCATGTACCTTAAACTGAATCACTAATGAATGGAGGAGATGTACTACAGAGAGAGAGGTCTGGTATTAACAGTTATCCTCCAAATGTTTCATAAATTAAAGCCAACATACTGATGGGCAGGAGTGTTATCTCAAATATAATTATAGCTAGATTCAGACCTTTCCTTAGCGTTGGACTTGTATGTCCAACTGACACTTCCCTTTAGAGTCCTCTGAGCATATCAGACGTATGTCTTGAACAAAACTCAAACACCTCTCTACTTCTGCCCCTGCTGACTTTTTCATCTCATTCAGTGTCACTTAATTCCTGTTTTTACTCAAGTCAGTAAACTTCATTTACCAGAATCAGGTTATTCTTGATTGTCCCCCCACTCCACCCCCTTAGCATACGCTCAAGAAGTCCTGCTGATTTCTCAAAACCATCTTCTCCTCTCCATCCTTACTGCTATCCCTCAGCCCAGTCACCAGCATCTCTTGCCCGGAGTAATACAACAGCCTCCTGTTTGGTCTCCCTGCTTCCATTCCCTTCAAGGTAAGCATGATCTTAAAAATTAGGAAATCAGTTCAGGTTAGGCCTGGTGTAAAAAATCTGTTAATGTCTTCGCATTGCATTTATAATAAGACCCAAACTCCTGAGCTTGGCCTCTAAGACCTTGTGCGGCCTGCATCTCACCTTGCATGCAAGTCTTTTACTCACAACAGCCTCCTGTTTGGTCTCCCTGCTTCCATCCCCTTCAAGGTAAGCATGATCTTAAAAATTAGGAAATCAGTTCAGGTTAGGCCTGGTGTAAAAAACCTGTTAATGCCTTCGCATTGCATTTATAATAAGACCCAAACTCCTGAGCTTGGCCTCTAAGACCTTGTGCGACCTGCATCTCGCCTTGCATGCAAGTCTCTTACTCACCAGCTTGTTTCAACCCCTCACACGCATGCGTGTGCTCACCCCTTGCCTGTGACGCTGCTCTCTGACCACTCGGCCCAGAGCAGGTGCTTCTCTGTGCTTCATATTCTCAGCCCCTTGTTTATTCCCTTCCTAACATTTATTGTAATCAGCAATGATTTTATTATCTGCCTTTTTTATCTGTTTCTCCTCAACATAACGTAAACACCAAGAAGCCAGGGGCTTAATGTGTCTGCTAGGAACTAAAGTTGTTAATTAAGCTCAATGTCTGGCCCAGGAAATATTTGCCAAGTGAACAATCTTATAACCCTATTAGAAATTCACCCCAGCCGGGCGCGGTGGCTCACGCCTGTAATCCTAGCACTCTGGGAGGCTGAGGCGGGCGGATTGCTCGAGGTCAGGAGTTCGAAACCAGCCTGAGCAAGAGCGAGACCCCGTCTCTACTATAAATAGAAAGAAATTAATTGGCCAACTAATATATATATAAAATTAGCCGGGCATGGTGGCGCATGCCTGTAGTCCCAGCTACTCGGGAGGCTGAGGCAGCAGGATTGCTTGAGCCCAGGAGTTTGAGGTTGCTGTGAGCTAGGCTGACGCCACGGCACTCACTCTAGCCTGGGCAACAAGCGAGACTCTGTCTCAAAAAAAAAAAAAAAAAAAGAAATTCACCCCAATTATTACTGTCCAGACTTTTGTTAATTAGGCTTCTTAAACTTAAAACAAAAATTATTCCTTATAAAACAAGCTCAAAATTAATAAAGGAATCATTATACTTTGAGGAAGTTTCATTCAAATCTAGGCTCCAGTAGATTGTTTTGTTCACATATTCACATTGGCTATTATGTGGAACTCCATGGAGAATTTAAAAAAAACTATCATGGATGCAAATTCATTTATTTAAAAAAAATCATGGCAGTAGCATAACAATTCCACATGCCTGAATGTGGAAAATATTTAAATATGATCGTTATGGCTCTCTTACAGCATATCTATTCAGTCTAAACCTCTCTTCCTTTCCACTATAAATCTACTTTGAAATTTCAGAATGTACAGCCCAAGGCTTTTCCAATTCTAAGACAAACAGATGTGCACAGTGATCTTTATCATATTTTGGAGTCTTACGAAGAGCACAAAAAATTTAGTAGATAATTTGAACTACATATTCTTTGTTTCTTCTATCTTTCAATCTCTTTGTGAATCTGTAGCCATAATTTCTAAGCAATTAAATCCAAGGCAGCAAAAAAATTATGTCATTGAGTTAGAAAGTAGTTACAAGAACACCTTATTAAGCCATGTCTATTTCATCTCATCTTTCAGTTTCAGATGGCTTAATAATTTCCTTAAAAGGAATAAACAATTTGTTTTTCTTAAAAAATCAGAAATATAGAAAAATTAAAACATTAAATTAGTAAAAAAAAACCCAACAAACTTAACCCAAGAATTAATCCTTATGTTTTAAATGAACATTGTAATTCTTGTTTGCTGGAAATTCCTAGAATATACTCTGTTCTTTGAACATGTTACATAAAACTCTTCATGTACCCTTGTCTCCCTGGAGATTGCTATTCACTTATAACCTGCTAAAGAGCTGCTTCCTCTATAAACACTTTTGCATTTCCTTCCTCTGTGTTCCTGCAGCATCTTGAAAATATATCTATTATACATGGCAATAAAGTATTATAAAACACTGTAGATTTTAAAATTTATGTATGTGTACTTTATCAAGAGCAACTTAAGGACTTGTATACTTCTCTTTGTAACCCCAGCCCCAGACCCTAGCACAGTGCCAGGTATATTGTTAAGTATTCACCAACTATCTATTGAAAAAAAATGAATGATTAAATCACCTCCTTTATTCCTTCTTCTAAGATCTTTAAATATAATGACAATATTTTATAAACCCAAACTGACAAACATGCTATCATAAAGGAGTTTTGCATCACTTTAGGTGCACAAAACATAAATATGCTAGTTTTAGTGTCAAGATACTAGAATTTCTAAGATCTTTCAACGGACAGCTGGAAGCAATATTCGATATCTTAACTAACATAGAAAATGTGGGATCTCGAGTTGCCATAACTATGAAGGACGGAAATGGTGGTGACCTTAAATCTGTGCGACAGATATCTAACTCTGGTCTCCTCCTTCTAATCCCCACCCCCCAGCCCCCACCCTATCCCTACACACCAGCCTTTCTTTCATTGAAATGACACATTGATAATGATCACTGACCTCCTGGCAACCTCATTAACCCTGAATTACAGATCGCTCAGGTTGAGGAGATGAAAAGCTCAGAGCAACATTTTCCCAACGACATTACCAACACTCTCTGGTTTGGATCAAATAAGGAAAGGGCTGTCTTAGATTCCTGAAAAAATCTGAAATACAGATTATTTTCAGAGAACTACACCTTTTTTTTTTCCAGTCACACACAAGAGCTCCAAACACGGCCATTAAATAAATCATTCAAAACTGACTCAGAAACAAATGTTGTAAGAATAGACAAAACTGAATTGAAATGAACATATGAGCTATTTTGTATTGGCAAGTCTAAGAAATGTTTGTGATCTTTACATTTTTAAAGTTTGCTCAGATGTACATCAGAACATTGCTTGTAATTGAGAAAAAAATTGAAAATATCCTAAAAGAGTAACAGTTTGTTAATCATGGTATATATAGCCATAGAACAAAATATCACACAACTATTAAAATGATGCAGAAATATATTTAAAACATTCACTGTAGATTACATGAAGGAAAAAGCAGTTTATGGAGCTGAATATACAGTAGGATGCTATCTTTGTGTGAAAAAAAATCACATACACATATTTAATTGTAGAAAAAGCCTGTAACAGTAGACATGGGAATGCAAACAATGGGATCTCATTAAAGCGTACCTCTTTTTGCTTATCAGTTTTCTAAAATGAACCTGCACTGCTTTTATCATTAGAAAGTGTAATTTGCCTGTTTGTTTTAGTCTATTTGGTTCTTGCCTTCTAATGTTTTTTTCACTCTATTAAAATACCTGGCTTATGGAAGTTGGCTTAAAAGTAAATGTCATTTAAGCTCTTCCCCTAATTATACAAAAGTTGATAGATTGTGTTAAAATTAAAGCAGACTTTTGAACTCTGGGCTGTGTATACATGAATGAGAGCTGGGGGTGGGAGGACCCAGCAATTTTCATGAGTGTTGGGAAAACTAAAAGGAAAGCTCATTGTCTTTACACATCATCAAAGTTGCAGCATCACTTCCCTAGACCGAGCATCTCGAGAGTTTTAGTCTGGAAGATTTCCTAAAACTTAAAACATTTGCTACTGTGCAATATACATTATGACATGCATATCACAGTTTTCTGTGAACAAACATTCCACATTTCCCAAGCATTGCTTATCATCATTTAAAAAGCATACCAAATTAGCCGGGCATGGTGGCGCATGCCTGTAGTCCCAGCTACTCGGGAGGCTGAGGCAGGAGGATCACTTGAACCCAGGAGTTTGAGGTTGCTGTGAGCTAGGCTGATGCCCTGGCACTTTAGCCCGGGCAACAGAGTTAGACTCTGCCTCAAAAAACAAGCAAACATACATTTTTTTTTAAAACATGTACCGAGTTACTTCTATAGATAGATGAGAACTGGTATTAGGAAAGATAATCATTGTCCCTTTTCTTCAGGAAATCGGTCATAAAGATAGAGAATTATTCCATATATAATATATATTCTTCTGCTTTCCATTATTCAAGTCACCAGCTTTCTGAATAAATAATTTTATGATTTTATAGAGAATTCTCTTCTAATCCTTACAGCCTTTTGAGGTTTAACAGGTGAGAAGACCAAGGCAAACAGAGATTAAGCAATTTGCCTAAAATCAAGAAGCTTGGAAGTGGGAAGGCTAGATCTGGAATGCAGTTCTACCAGTCTGCAGAGGCTGAGCTCTTTTAACCATTACATTGCAATACACACATGCACATATACAAAACAACAAAGAAAGGGGTACAGGCAGAAGGTAGTACAGGGATTTGGTGGAAAACCAACTCTACCTAGAGCCAGAAGAATCAGAGGTCGCTCCATGGAGTGAACAGCACTTGACTGGAGTCTTGAAAGACAGAAATGTAGTATCAGGAAAAATAAGTAGTTCCACATTTTTTCCTGCTGGTTACAAATATGGCTTGGATGTCCCTGAGTCCTCTTCTATAAAGGATCTGGACTGACTGCCCAACCCACAGGAAGGAACCTGACAATATTTTATGATTAGAATGAAATCTTAGCAATTCAAAGTGAGGAAAACATTCTTTCTTTCCTATCATTGCTGGTCCTTTCCTCTCCCACTGTTTAGCAATAATTTTGAAAAGGAGTAAGGGAAAAAAAATTCTCTTTCTAAATAAAACCTAAGAGGACAATGAACTATTAAAAGAAAATTCACAGCACTCACTGAAAAGGAAAATGTCTCTGGGTTAAGAAACTGGGCCAAACTTACAGAAATAATTGTGTCACGGGTGTGGAACTAAATTCCAATTTATAAGTGGAAAAAAGCCATCAAGAAAAATAAGTGACAAGGGAATAAAATGAACCAGACAAATTCATGAAGGAAGTAAATCAGTAAGTCTTTAGCTTGAACAGTTTACTCATGTTTAAAGTAAAAACACTTACTTATATGTATATTTTCCCCCCTCATAATAATGCCCCCCAAAAAAAGGAAGGAAAGAAAACTGTCATTTTTCCTTGATTTTTTCCCTCAAACTATAATCATATATATATATACTATATAAAGGAATATTCTTGTGAAGTGATAACAATTTACCAGTAAAAAAGTAACCTTTTGTTTTAGTTACTCTTTACCTTCAAGAATCTAGAACCCCGGTCTTTCTTTCACCATCTGGCTGTCTGCAATTCTGCTCATCCTATTTTCTCTTCACCCCACTTTAATCAGGCTTCTATTCCCCTGGAATGAGTCTTATCACAGTGACCTGCAACTTGCATGTTACTGAATCCAATGCTTAATGATTAGTCCTCATCTTACTTATCAGATCAGTTGCAGTTGACACACTTGATCACTCCATCCTCTTTTATGTTTTCTTTACATGGTTAATAAAGGGCACCATAAGTCTTGGTTTCCTACCTCTCTGGCTGCTCATTCTCAGTTTCCTTTTCCTGATCTTTTAATGCCATTAGAGTGCCCCAAGTTTCAGTTCCTATTCTCTCTTTACTGACACTCTTCAGTGATCTCTTCTACTCACCAGACTTTGCCATCCACTGGCAGATGACTTCCAGGTGTGTATTTCAGTGAAGATGTCTTTCCTGAACTCCCGACTCAGATATTCAACTGCTTGCTTGATATCTCCACGTGAATGTCTAAGACTGCTTACTTAACACATCCCAAACTCAGCTACTAATGGCCTTAACCCCTACACCCTCGGCCAAAAAAATAAAAATCCTACTCCACCCACAGATTTCCATATCTCAGTTGATGGCAACTCCAACCCTTCCAGTTGCTTAGGCCAGAAACCTTGCAATTATCCTTAATCAATCTCTCTCTCTGTCTCTCTTATCCATCTTAAATCTACCAGCAAAATCTGTTGGCTCTATGTTCAAAGTATATCTAGAATTTAACTATTTCTTCCACCTCCACTGCTACCAGCCTCATCCAAGCCAGAGTCATCTCTTACCTGGATTGCTAGATGGCCTATTAATTGGTCCCCCCACTTCAACCCTGCCCTTAGAGTCTATTCTGAACACAGCAGGAGTATTCCTTTCAACATCTAAGACAGATCATGTCACTCCTATGTTCAAACCTCTGCAATGGGTCTCATCTCACTCACAATCAAAGTCAATGTCCTTTATACAAGATCCTATGCCATCTGTGTTTGCAGCAATCCTCACCCCTGCCCACCTCTCTAAGCCCCTCCAACTATTTTTCCCTTGAATAACTGTTTCGGATATCTTTGCTGTTCCCCACACTGTATACATACATATATATGCACACACTATATATGTGTGTATATATGGTAATTTTTCCTTCTGCCTGTTAGAATGCCTGCAAATATATGTTCTACAGGGCAGGAGTCTTTGTTCTGTACACCAATGTATCCTAATAGACTAGCTAGTGTGAGGCACATAATCAGTGCTTAAATCGAAATTGCCTAATGAATTTTTAGTCTCTTAGCAAACTATAAAGAGCTCAGCCATGTGACTGGACTTGTTCCACTAAGAATCTTACTACATTCCTTTCTCTTAAAAACATCATGTGCTACAGCAAATGCTTAATGTTTGTTGAATGATTTTCTAAATGGCACTGTCATTGTCAGTGGAAGAAATAAAAATCTCACCACAAATACTGCAAACTCGAAACAACAAGACAAGAACAGTGTGTGTCATTTGTTCACTCATTTATCCACCAATTAATTCATCTACTCAATATATATTTGGGTAACAATAATGTGCAGGTATTTGGGACAGAAGTAAAAGTCTTAGTCCTTATTTTCACATGGGGCAAAGAGATAAGAAACCATACAAATACAATCCTCACCCCTGCCCACCTCTCTAAGCCTGTTAATTGCCTTTGCAGAGGGAAGCCCTGGGTACAACAGGATTACAGAAGAAAGCACCTGACCAGGGCTGGAGAGGCAGGAGCCATCAGGAAGGATGTGTCCCTTGAGTTAAGTTTGTAAGAAGTTAGTTAAGGAAAGAGGGTTGGTAGAGATGAAGAGCCATTCTAAGTAGAGGACACAGGTTGTCTGAAAGCACAGACAGTATCGGGGAACATGAACTGTAGGCAGCTCAGTGTGGTTCAAATTCTGGAGTTCAGAAGACATATGCAGGTGGAGAGGTCTTCTTTCACTCATACAGCATAATTTGATTTAATCTTCAAGTTAAGGGTAGTCATTGAAATTACACACTCAACTTTGCATTTTAGAAATATCTGATAGAAAATAGTATGGTACATGGGTCCTTAGAAAGACCATATAAATAGGTATGGAATTTTAATTCAGATTTAGAAATGCAGTATAAATTGGTAAAGTGCTCCAATAATTTTAATTATTGACTCAAGATAACCTGACAATTATTATTATCACTATTATTATTTACCATTTTTTTCAAAGGACTCAAAAGAGAACATCAGGGAAAGAGGCTCAAAGCATTCTTAAATTCTTCCTTATTCAACTCCAAAACCTAAATGAAGTGAAACAAACAATGAAGAAAACCATTCTCAATGTCACTCTTTACTCAACAGGGAGCTCACAATTATAGTCCAAGAGAACATTTATGATGCCAAAAGAAATACCCAATCCATCCATCATCCCATTACTCCCATCTCATGTTTTTCTTTCCAAAAGACACCAACACTCAATAGCTACTTGTGACTCTGGAGTTCCGGTAATCCTCTGGGCATTGCAACATTAAAATATTTCTTTGTCCTTAAAAGCAAGGGGGAAAGATTGCCTGAATCCCAGGAGTGATTATCTCAAACAACCATTTTACTTTGCTAGGACACAAATTATCTTTTTCCATTGTCTTCTTACACAACATACCTTGCTAGCCAAGACTTAGAGGTTGGTTTGGTTTTGTGGACCACTGTAGGCAGTTGGAAAAGAACCAAAATTACACCTGGCATTGACACAGAACTGAACTTTTGCAGGTAATTAAAAACCCTGTTCTCTAGTTTCAGTCATGTTGCCTCAGAATCTGTAAATGAGTGATTTTCATATCTACCCAAGTATCCAGAAGTTCAAAAGGAGAACTAGAAATTAGGCACAATGAGGTCCTAGGTATGAGTACCAAATACTTATTTCTCCTTTAGGGCAGTACTTGAAGTGTGGACAGTTGATACAAAATCAAAACACAAAATGTTTTATATTTAAGTCAATAGTACCTATATATGTATATACATAGTTTGACATAATTTACAAAGTCTAACCTACCTATTTAAGAAAGCTAATGGGGAAATGGGAGGGAATCTAAAACAGGAGGAAAGCTATATATGGCTCCATGCAAACAGAAAAAGGTCCATAAGGTAGGTCAGTGTGTGTGTGTGTGTGTGTGTGTGTGTGTGTGTGTGTCTGTGTGAATGTGTGCCCGCACACGTGTGGATATACACAAGTGGGTGTACATGCACAAGACTCAAGTATTTGATGTTATCTGCCTAACCTTGTTCTAAAATTATTTTCACAAACAAACTATATATAGAACTAAAAGTCATTTTTGAAGTGATTTTTAAATATTTATTGAACTTCTAAAAATGATACTAGCCTTTTGGAACAAATTGTGGCTTTTGACGGTTTGTTTCAAAATGTCTAATGCAGGGATGTGACAGTATAAAATGAAGTCTAAGCACAACTTCTGTAATAGAAAATATTCAAAGGGAAGGTTTCCTTTTTTGGGGTCCTTTTATTCAACAGTGAAGTGATTTTCTACGAAGTAAAATTTTTAAGAAAGTAAAGTTTCTCAAGGATTGCTCCATTCTTCTGAATTGAAATCTCTACCTCTGGGGAAAGCTTCCCATAGAGAAAGAATAGCTAAGCTTGATCATTCTTTGAATCCTGCTGTTACTTTTTTCCTTTAAAAAAATGACATATTTTTAACTTACAGTGTTTTGGGGGGAAAGGGGAAGGGAGGAAAGAGTCAAAACTGGTTCATGCTTTGTTTCCCTAAGAATGATAATCTAAGAACAACAAGGATACTGTATAAATCAACTATAACACAGTGTGTATATATATATATATATATATATATATATATATATATGTGTGTGTGTGTGTGTGTGTGTGTGATGTATGTATGTATCTAAAGAAAACAATAAAAAAATCTAAAAAAAATCTAAAAAAAATCTAAAAAATCTAAAATTTGTGGGATTGGCATTCCTTATAATTTCAAATATCAAATAAGTCAAAAAAAATCTGAAGCTGTGAAACCATGATTGTCTTCCATACATCTTAATTTTTACCTATTACTAAAAGAAATCCAGACATCTCCTCTAATATGGTGTTAATGTTTAAAGGCATACTTTGAAATAAACATATCATTTGATTAAAAATAGAAGTAGCAGCACTAGCAAAATAAAGTTGCCAAAGTTAGCTGGAAAATAGGCTTTCCCTCAAATATAAAAATTCTGTTTATAAGAAAAAAATGAAAGGACCTAAATTGAAAAGGAAAAAAATTAGACAGTAATAAGGACTTGAGAAAATGTACTTGGTCTTCTCATCTCTTTGATGGGAATCTTCATAGCATCTGCTTCACAAGGTTGTCCTGAGGATTAAATAAACTCATCCATGTAAAGCACTAGTGTCTAGGCTCATATGGAATGTTCAAGAAATATTAGTACTATTGTCATTATTGTTGGCAAAAACTCATGTTATGAGGCCATGTCTCACTTCCCATCTTGGAGAGTAAACACAGTCATGAAGGAATCACAATCTTGTTAAAATCTTGGCTGCCAAGCAATGATAGCCTTATTTCAGAGAGAGAGAATACAGTGAAGAAATAAATACCTCAAGATTTCTAAAATCTGAAAGCAAGAAACAGTTATTAGAGACAGATCAGTATTTCTGATTTGTGAAGAGAGGGGTATCAACTAAAAAAAGAAGAAGTCTTATTTTGCATTTTCCAGAGAGCTGGATGGACTTGGATTAAATGGTGGAAGTTACAGAGAGAAATGTCTGTTCAGTATAAGAACAGACTCTCTAACATCAAAACCACTCACCTTATAAAAGGATAGGCTGTCTTGAAGGGTAGAGAGCATACTGAGTGTGAAAGTGGGAGTTCTGTCATCAAGGATGATAAGGAAAAGGTTCCTTAGCAAGTCCAAGCTAGACAACAACAGTAATGACAATCACCACCACCACCACCACCATAATAAGGACAGTTGACACAGAGACAGAAATTGCCCAGCATTGTTGTAATCACTTTATCTATATTGACCCACTGAATCCTCACCACAGCCACCTGGCTCCATAGTTTGTGTTCTTAACCACTTCAATATGCTGCCTACCCCCAGCTCTAAAATCCTGGGCAAGTTACTTAACCTCTCTGTGCCTCTATTTCCTCATTTATAAAATGAGAATAACAAAAGCACTTACCTCAGATGATAGATGGAATGCACTGATACATTTGCTTGGCACCTAGAACAGTGCCTGACACATAACAAGTATTTTATTACTTTTTATATATAGATCATTTCAACTTTTAAGAAAAATTTTTAAATTTTTGGATGGCAAGTTAGGGAAGGCACAAAGAACTCTGTCTTGGCTATAGTGAGCAATCTGACATAAATTTTTATCAAATAAGTGGAACTCAAGGCTTGCCTTTGGGGTTGATTCTCTAAACAAAATTAGCCATGGGTAAAACTACAGTGAGAGTCCTACAGTGAGACCAGAACCTGTACACTTTGTCATGGCTGATTATAAGGTAAAATACGGAAAAAAGTAGAATGGCCTAGCTCATCACCCTCTGCTGACTTCTTACCATTCTCAACGCTTCCACCAATCATTCAAACCACACTTCAGCAGAACCCTTAACTGGACTTTACCTAGTACTCACTTAACCAATCCCCAAAGCTATCCAATCCAACCCACTTCTTTTGCACCTACCATCAAACTGCAACCTGGCATCCAATGTGGCCTAATAAATCTCCTAGTTACCCTAAGTCTCTCCTTAGATTCTCATAGAGGCAATAATAAACCTTTATTTCACTCAGGCTTCCAAATCCACTCCTGTCCCTACTCTCAAATATCCTGGACCCCTCAATAATTGGAAAATAGAAGCAATCAGATACAAATTCTTCCTGGTTTACATATACATTCCTCCATACCCCTAAACCTCTGCAACAGCAAATCAGTTCAACATTTACAGATGTCTTTGCCTAGCCTTTTCGCCTTTTTCAGAAGAAAAAATGTTTCCAGACTTCCTTTCCAAGGCCAACTCTTTCTTCTGTTCTCTGATGCTACTCAGGAAATGTGTCTCATCTTCTTGGTTCGTTGTCTGGCAACCATTCTCATCTTCCAACTCTCTTGGAACTTCAAACATTTTCTACTAATCTATAAACATACCCAGAAGAAAAAAAAAATTCTCAGACCTGTTTTCATCATAAGTCCTGACTCTTTCCCCATTTTACTGCCAAATAAAGTGGTCTCTTGCTGTGGGTATGTAACCAGCTGAACTAATAAATGTGAATCACTGGAAGACAGCCCGATACAGGTTATTCTTGATTACAATCAACCTTTTTAAGTTTAAAGGTTCTGCCATCAGCAGCCGTGGACTTAGTGACTATTAATTATTTCTTCCATTTACACTGTGTTTTTAACAAACATAATAAAGGAAAGTACACCACAGAGGTTTATTATATATGACAAACTGTACTTTAAATAAATGTGGGTATTTGCTTTAGGACTTTTTGCACAGTTTATAGATTAGCAATACTAATATCTTATAAACGTTTTTTGAAGGATAATTCTTACATGAGCTAAGCCTTTACAATCTAGAGTAATGATTGAAGTTATGACCTATACTATGATAATGTAAATTGTCCACATAAACTCTTAAAGCCCTATCTGATTTAAAACTTATCATTTATACAGAAGAATAAGCTTACAGAAATAAAGGTTTCCATACCTTCAGGGAAAAAAGATCTGGTAAAAGGACCTTACAAAGGAGAACATGATATATTTAGGTAGAAGGAAGCAAGCCAGTGAGGGTGAAGCACAGAAAACAAGAGAAGAGGCAAGGAAGGGCCAGATCCCTGAGCCTCCTAGGCCAGAACTGATACATTTCAGTATACTCATTAGACTAGAAAGCAAATGAAAAGCTTTAAGCTGGGAGATGGAAGGATCAGAACTACAGTTTTAAAAGGATGACTCTAGTTGCTGTATGGAGAATGAATGGGTAAATCACACCAGAATGGGTGTGAAAGGGCATGAGTGGGAGTTAAGAGGCTGCTTCAGAAGCCTAAGAGGGAAATGGTAGCCTAGATGAAGGTGGCAGTAGAGGTGGAAATAAGGAGAAAAATTCTAAAAGATTAAATCAGTAAGACTTGATGAATAATCAGCTGTGGGGGGAAGGAACCAAAGAGAGGTATCGATGACATGTTGGTTTCCTGCATTTATATACATATATACATGGAAATGTGGAGTAACACATCTTGTACAATATATACCAAATGTTAACAGAAGTTACCCATGGTAAGGAAAGATGAATTTTACAAAGAGGCAGACTTTCATTTTTTTTTTTTACTATATAAACATCTAGATTGTTTAAATACTTTATAATCAGCAGGTATACATTGCTTTCATAGTTAAATTCACACACAATAAAAAGGAAAAAGCATTTGCCTGGCTGAAAAGGATAGAATGGCATTTTAGGGAGAAAGAACAACCTATCCAAAAGCATGGGCATGTGAAAGCATATGGCATATTTAAAGAGTATCAAGCGGTCTAGTGCTTGCTGAGTAAGAAGGAAGGATGTGCATGGGAGGGAGATGAGGAAAGATTGAAGCTATTTTAGAATATGGCCAGATCATGAAGGACCTTCTATATCAGCTAAGGAAATCATTCCCTGAACAGGAGGAAATAGGTGCATAAAGTTTTCAAGTAGGAGAGTGAAAAAAATCAAGTTCATATTTTAGAAAGATCACTCTAGAGAGAGTGTGAAGACTGGGCCAGAAGGGCAGTAAAAAGATTAGGAGACCACTTTAGCAAGAACTTAAGCTAAACCAGGGGCAACAGAGATAGAGAAGGGGAGAGAGATTTGAGATTCACTTCAGAAGTAAAGTTGACAGGGCTTGGTGATTAAGTGGGATGTGACAGATAAGAAGAAGGAAAGTCAAAGATGCTTCCATTGTTTCTAGTTTAGGAGATTAGATAGTGATGACATTAATGTAGTTAATGCAACAACAGGTTAAGTGAGAAGATAATACAGTTTGTTTTAAAGATGCTGAAGTTAAAGTACCTTTGGAAGCAGGTCAAAGTACCCAACAGGAAGATGGATATACAAGTATAAATTTGAGGAACTGGGTTAGAACTGGAGCACAATAACACTATTACCCAGAATATAGAATTTCAAACCTGTGGATACATTCTTACCCTTGATATAATTTCACTGAATCTTGAGGCAACTGTCAAGAGTTGACCAGTTCCATTTATTCTCATAGTTGTAAAAAGTTCACATAATTGTTAAAAGTCTCTATAGACAGTAAATTTAAAAAGTAAGTCAGGGCTTTTGTCTTGGTCTCACTTTGAGTCTTTTATTTTCTTTCCCCTTCCCTTTTTGTCGGTCTACGTAACTATCTACGTATCTATCTATTTATCCAACTATCTAGTTAAGGAAGATATATGAGGTATAAGGAAGTATAATATCAAAAACATTTGCTATTCTTATTATTTTGTCTTAATTGTAAAAGGCAAAGAAAAGAACATTCCACAATTCTACCTTTAACAAAATCTAAGTTAAATAATGATTTACCTATGTGACTCTTCATTGATTTTTCTCTTGCAAATCATCGACCCTTCATTAACTGACATCACCAAGGTAGTCAACTCAAGCTGTAGCTTTAACCACAGAAGTTAAACAATTCACAGTCCTGTTGTTGCTCACTGTTAAAAATCCGAGTCACACTGTACTTTTGTCTAATAGATGGTGCACTAGTTTGGTAGTAGATGACGAGGAAGGACCTGTTGGCAAGGAAACAGCTGCTTCCTTCCTGAGCAAGGGGAAACCAGGAAGGTGACAGATGGGCAGAGCAGAAAAGCAGCCAAAAATTGCTCTGGCTCCTGGTTGGCAACAATTTTCAGAACTGAGGCACGACTGAATATTTTAAAGTATATCAATGATTGAGAATATTGTCTGCCTGGGTGCTCTGCTGAAATTCAACAGGCTTCCCACACATTTTCTACATTTGAAAAACTTTTAAGTTTACAATGGTACAAAGGGCCTAGCCTGAGCCTATGTACAGTGGGCTAAGACTGCAAGGCACTGTCCCATTTCACTTTAGGATTATACCCAAGAGAATGCACTTTCTGGTTACACAAAAGAAAAAAAGAAAAATTTCATTTCCTGTATAGGTTATATTTGTATGATTTACTAGAATTACTATTAAAATTTCATTTAAAAATGTTTTTCTTAAATACGTTTACTTTTATATACTTAAAAGATTTGTTCCAAACTTTTATAATTTGTTCTTTTATCATTCCCCCTCCATACACTTCAGTATCCAGAAAATTAAATATTCAAGAATTCTTGGGTAAAATAGACAACCACTGGATTGATATGTTATAACTAACATATTTTCTTAGAAAGCTGTAATTAGGTAAGTTATTGTTCTTCATCAAATGGAAATTAGCAATCATTGGAAAATAACATTAAAAATTAGTGTGGGCATGAAGTATGGAATTTTAAAACATCAGTTTACTATGCTGATTAACTCAACATTTATATTTTCATCAGAACTTAATAATCCCATAAATAAATAGAGCTCTCAATTATTTAAAAAAATCAAGGGATAACATATGTATTTAGACATATTAGCAGCGTAAAGATGTATGCTTCAACACACTTATTGGGAAAACGTCTGAAAATATTACTACACTGAATTCAAGGGTATCCGCAGGAACCTGACATATAAGTTCTCTAGAATAATAACATATCAGGAAATTCCAAAAAAGAAAAAGGGTCAAATAGGAAATAGCCTCAAATTAATCGACAAAGTTCAGTGCTTGCTCCAACTTGATTATTCTCTCTCTCCATTGCAAAAAATCAGTCTCAGGATTGGTGAATCACTTAGATGAAAGTTCATCTAGTGGAATAAATGGAGAGGCCACTTGGGCGGGTGACACAGGAGAGTCGGTGGTAGTGCTGACTTTCGCTGGTGAGTTACAAGAAGATCCGGCACTGCTGCTGTTTCCATCAAGGGTATCCGAAGATACACACACACCGGGATCTGACAGCTGTGCAACGTCAGAAGAAAGCATGTTGGTGATGCCCTGGAAAAATCTCTTTGGCTGGTAATCAGTTTCCATTTCACATTTTCTTTTTAATGGTCCAAGAACACTTGGTCTAATGCAATTGATGGGACTCTGGCTTCTCCGGGTAGTAAATCGGGTCGTTGGGCTGGGAATAGGGCTTGGAGGCAATCCATTGCTACTCACAAAACTTTGCAAGGATGGTGAAAAACACTGCTTCCCAATTCCCCGAGTGGGTGACGGTGCTGGTGACACAGGAATGAAATCGATGCGCTTCGGGGAGGCCGATTTCTCCACATCGTTGTCACTCAGGCTGAAACTTTCCTCCCAGGAGTGGCTTATCTGCATTGCGGTCTGCACCTCCCGCTCGTGGACCGTCTCTCTGTTGATCAAGTCCATGCCCTCCTCCTGCTTGATCTGGTGCAAGCGGCTGCTGTGCATGCGGACAGGGGAGGCCGGTAGCAGCAGGCCGTGGCGGCTCGGGAACGTTGTGCTGTTCCGCCTGGTGCTCGGCGCCTCGGCCTGGAACACCGGCGAAGTGTCACTGAGGCCGTGAATCAGGGGGGCGCTGTTAGACCTCCTGAGGCCCCCGCCGCCGCTAGTGCCGCCGCCCTCCGCCGAGCTCCCGCCCGTACCCGGAGGCAGCTCCAGGTCCAGCTCCATCTTCTCCTGAGCCATGTCGGAGACAGGGAGGCGGGGGCGGTGCTCAGTCAGGGCCCTAGGACTCCCATTCCCCGCAGTCCAGGGCCGCCGCCGCCGCCACCGAGAATCTGTCAGCGAGCTCACCTCTCTGCGCATGCGTGCCCCTTCGCGCAGGCGCCTGCGAGGTCTGTGCGCGCGGCGCCTACTTAATGCGTAATAGCTGCGCCGAAGCCGTAGTGGGAGGGGCGAGGAGTGGTTGGGCCCGCTAGTCAATACATTCCTTCCGCAAATAGCTTTTCAGCCCAAATTCGCATCGACGCAGTTAAATAAGATTATCATATGGGGGAATATGTAATTACAAAACAAATACAAGCCCTAAAAGAGAGGCCCTTGGTGATGTGGGCTGTATGACTGGCAGTGAGGTTTGGCCTAATCAGGGAGGGCTTCCCCGAGGAAGAGGCACTCTGAAATCCGAGGAGGTAGGGGAAGGGGTGCGGTGTAGAACCTCGCAGGAAGCGGGAAGCTAGGGCTACCCAGCGAGATGTCAGGCGGGAACCAGGAGGGAAGGAGGAAGTGTGGCCTGCAGTGGAGAGTGAGGGCTGGGGTGACATGACGTGGTGGACCAGAGAAGATTCTGGTCTTTACCATGAGAACAGTGAAAACTACAGAGGTTTTCAAGCATAGGTATATTAGCACCTGAAAAGCTCACTGGCCCGCAGTCCGGAGAAGAGAGCATTGGGAGATTAAAAGCTACAGGAAAAAGGCCAGAGAGGATGGTAATTTGCACTAAAGTGGTAGTGTGGAAGAGGAGACGGAGAGAAGAGTAAATTTGAGAACTATTTAGAAGATCAGGGAAAAAAAAAACAAAACCTGGAATTGTATTACTATTATTTTATTCATAATCATATTTCCAGCACAAGCATGTGTGAGGTGTGAGGGATTAAAGGAAAACCAGTAAAGTCCTCACATTTTAAAAATAAAACCCCATTCTTGGCTTATGTAATTAATATAAAACTGATAGCTCATTAAAAGTGATTTATATTTATTCAGTCAGTCAAGTTTTTTTTTTTCCTGCATACCTACTGTGTGTCAGACACTGTGGTAGGAAATGGACCCTACATGAGGGTGTTTAATTTTTACTGGGGGAAAAGAAATAAATAAATAGGCTATTTTCAGATAGTGGTAAGCCTTAGAAAAAATAAAATACACTGGTGTAATGGAGCACTACTGATAGAAGGCAGGAGGCCATTAGAGCTGAGATCTCAGTGACAAGAAGAAGCAAGTCATGTGGACATCTGGGGAATGAGTATCCCAAGCAGAGAGAACAGCACCGTGCTAAGGCCCAAGGTAGCTATGAGTTTGATGAGTTAGCAGGAAAGGAAAAAAAGGCAGTGCAGCTGAATTATAAAAGGAGGAGAGTATTCTGAGAGGGTAAAAATGTTTGGATCTCATTCTGAGTATGATGAAAAGCCACTAGGGGGTTTTAAGCAAGCGACTGAAATTATCCGGTTTATATTTTAAATGCCAGTTTGGCTCTGTGGAAAATAGGCAGAAAGAGGACAAGAGTGGAGGCAGAAGGATGGATTAGGAACCTGTGGCAACAGTACAGACAAGAGACTCTTGGGCTAGGGTTGTAGCAGTGGCAATGGGGAGAAGTCGATGGATTCAGGATATGTTTTAGAAGTGGAACCAATAGGATTTCCAGATAGATTAAATTTAGATGATGGGAGAAATAGATTATTCAAAGAGGACTCAGATTTTTTATTAAAACTGGGTGGATGGAAGTGAGATAGGGAAGGAGCACATTTAGAGGTATGGAAATGAAGAGTGCCTGAAGCAGAATAATAGCAAGTAGAAAGAACCAACATTTTCTAAGTGCCAACTTGTTGCCAGGCACTTTAAACACTCCATAGTCCCACATAATCCTCATTGGAATCTTATAAATTAGATATTGTTATGGCTAATTTTATAGTGAGACAATTGAGGTTCAAAAATTGCAAAAGGCCCTACAGCCAGCACACAGAAGAACAAAGATCTGAACCAATCATAATTAAGGTCTCACTTCAAAAGCCTATATTCTATTTGCTGAATTTCACATGGATTAGAGAAGGAGAATTTGATGGCTACCTGTGAGATGAAAAGAGGGTACAAAACAGAAGTTGGGAATGGCAGAAGTAGGAGATGAATTTGAGAGACAGCAAGGCAACAACAGAACCTGACTGCTTAGATGTGCACAGCACAAAGAGGAGTCACATATGACTAATGTTCAAGTGTGAGTGGCTGAAAGAATGGTACAGATTACTAAATAAAAACAGGGGAAAGAAGAGGAAGAATGTCCAGAAAAAATTAATATTAGGTAAATAGAAAGAGTATTAAATAAAGAACTTATTTTATAACATCCATAGCATATTATTCATTTGCATATTGCTAAATTATTAATAATGTGGCTCAAATCTGCCAGACAATGTTCATCCACATCTGAATAAACACAATTATTACTCTTACTAATAAAGCACAGTGATGGTGATAAGTCCACAAAATGAAATGTCTATGCTATTTGGTTCTTGCCTGAACACACCTATTAGAGATCTTGGCTGGTTTCCTTGTTTCTACCCTTGTCCATGCAAGTAAATTATCTAACCAATATTTAAGATAATCCATAAAAACACATTTGAATCACTTCTTCTCTGTTCAAAATCCTTTAGTATATTCCCACTCAGAGAAAAAGTCCAGGTCATTACAATGGCCTACAGAGCCCTATCTCATCTGAGACCCTACCATCCCTCTGACTTAACCTCTAGCTATTCTTCCACTAATTACCTCTCCTCCAACTGCAGAGGCCTCCTTACTTCCCTTCAGCCCACCAGGCATGCACCTCCCTCCACACAGGATTGCTCTTTTTCCAGTGGATAGCCACACTACTCAGTCCCTTCAGGTCCCTGCACAAATGTTACTGACAGAGAGGCTTTCCCTAACCTTCCCTTACAAAAAGCAATAGTAGTTCCCAACACCAATCCTACATTCCCTGGCCCCTTGCTCTGTTTTTATTTTCCTCCAGAGTACCACATGACATATGTATATATTTTCTTGCCTATTTCCTTCCTGAGAAGATAAGCTCCATGAGAATAAGCCCATTACTTCTTTCCCTGCTGTATGCTTAGTTATCTAGAACAGGGCCTGGCATATGGTACTCAATAAGTATTTGTTGAATTATTGTGCAAATGAATGATAAAGAATGAATCGATTAATGTAGCTTTGTCCAAAAGAGAAGAGAACTCTATTATTTGAAAATCCAGCCTAACAGGCTTATCTAGACTGATTCTAAGAGATCCATACTTTGACAGTTCTTTTTCTTATATCAGGAATATTATTATTATTAATACTTATACTGCCCTCCAGCCCATGCATAAGTTACTTTAACTAACCATATGTGAACTAAGAAACTGAAGCTCTAAGTTTTCATTCTTTTTTGACCATATGCTGATCAACACTTGATACAATTAAAATGCTCAGTTCTAAGGATTCTAAGCAGTGTTTAATATTTAATATATTGATTTACTACTTCCTTTCAAAGGAATCAAGGAGGAATAAGAGAAAATAGCAACCATAAAATGCAATTCAGCCTGTTGCAAATGAATGATGCCAGAGGCAGGATCCCAGGGCCCTTCCCTGAGTCAATTTCCCCTTCTGGTTTTACTCTATGAATTAAATACCATACTTAGTTGAGATTCATGCTCATTCCTAAGCCATAAAACCAGATATCTATCTATTCAATAGTTTAGCTTTACTGTGCTTAATATTATATTTTTGAAAACTAGCAGTTTCTTTTTAATTCCTAAGGGCAATTTTTTAGTATTAAACCTCCAAGCATATGACAAGGCAAATTTCCACCTCTGAATCCATGAATGTAAAATATGAATGTGTATAGGTATAATCTGAGATGGGCTGGCAGATATCTCAACATTTCATATTATCTAGCATCACCAACCTAGAATAAAAACATTACAGAGGAAAATTGTACTCTTGAAAGCGTTGGAACTTAGGAGTGTTAACTGGTACAACCATTTAGGAAAGATGTTTGGCAGTACCTATTAAAAGAAAATATATGAATAGCCTATGACTAAGCAATCCCATGCCTGAGTACATACACAAGAGAAATGAGGACTTATGTCTACTAAAAGACATGCACAAGACTGTTCCTTGCATTATTATTTATAACGGCCCCCAAGGGGAAACAACCCAAATGTCCGTAAACAGTTGAATGGGTGAAATTCTTTACTCAACGGCATGTATATGTTACAGTATGATGTTGAATGAAAGAAATCAAACACAAAAGAATACATATACTATGACTTCATTTTTCTGAAGTTTGAGACCATCCAAAATCAATTTATGGAGGTAGAAATCAAAATACAGTTACCCACCATTTCACTTTCCTAGGTTTCACTTGCCCATGATCAATCTCAGTCTGAAAACATTAGAAGTTAAATTCCAGAAAAAAAACAATTCATAAGTTTTAAATTGCACTCCATTCTGAGTAGCATATTGAAATCTCAGGCTGTCTGGCTCTGTCCCACCCAGGACGTGGATCACCACTTTGTCCAGTGTACCCACACTGCAGATGCTTCCTGCCTATTAGTCACCTAGTACCCATCTTGGTTATCCATCTTACTGTCATGGTATCTGCAACACTTGTGTTTGTTATTTTTTTTTTTTCTTTTAAAACTACTTCTTAGAACTTAAACACTTGTGTTTGAATAACCCTTATTTTACTTAATAATAACCCCAAAGTGCAAAAGTAGTACTTCTGGCAATTTGGATATGCCAAAGAGAAACCATAAAGTGATTCCTTTAAATGAAAAGGTGAAAAAAAATCATATGCCCAGGTTGCTTAAATCTACAGTAAGAACAAATCTACCAATGAAATGATGAAGAAGGAAAAACAAATGTGCTAGATATGCTGTCCCATCTCCAACTGCAAAGGTTATGGCCACAGTGTGTGATAAGTGCTTAGTTAAGATGGAAGAAACATTGGGTGGAAGACATGAACAGAAAATGTGTTCTTATTGACAGCAACGTGTTGCATCCGAAAACATTGAGCATACACGAAGACTTCAGCAAGGGATTCCCTGAAATGAGTGACACTAAGCCATTTGCTGCCAGTGAAAGATGGTTACACAGATTCAGAAATAGGTTTAGACTGACAAATATAGAAATTACTGGAGGGGTTGCATGTGTCGATGAAGAAGCTACTACCACATTTCCAACAGAGTTTAAGAAGTTGATTAAGGAGAAAGGATACCACCCAAAGTAAGTCTTCAAGTGCAATGAAACCAGGCTCTTCTGGAAGAAGATGTCCAATAGAACGTGCATTCAAAAAAGTGCTAAGGAGACACCAGGGCAATTAACATGGAAGGACAGACAGATCAACCCTGGTAGTTTGTGACAATGTATATATAGAGTTTGGTTTCTGTGGTTTCAGATATCCACTGGGTGTCTTAGAACAGATCCCCATCAGAGAAAGGGGAGCTACTATAGTGGTTATTCTTAGGACTGACTGGGAGGGGGCACAAAAAAATGTTCTATATCCTGATCTGTGTGCTGGTTTACATGGGTGTATGCATATGTGAAAATTATCGAACTAAATATTTGAAATGTATACACTTTGTGGTATATAAGGTTAGACCTCAAAATGTTATTGATATGGAGAAAAACAGCATGGGCACTTGCAATACAAATGGGGAAAGACAGCATAGAATAAGAATGCACTTCAATTGGAAGGAAGATATTTGTTTAAATACTACCCATGAGTCTAACTCTAAACTGGAATGCTGTGCTTCCAAATCTCTGACACACAGCAGTATCAGTGGAAGAGCAGCTAGCTGGCCTTGACAGTGAAGAGAAAGGAGATGGAAACACACACATCCCTCAAGTTACATTTCATTGTAGCCCTAAATACCAAAAGACTCCAGTGACCTAAACCACAAAGACTT